GCCCCTGCCCCCGCCCCCTCCCCAACAACCACCCATCCAATCAAATTATTCCACTTGTTTAGACACAGCAGGGTGTCAGTGTTCCTGGGATGAAAGAACCATATTAATGTAAAAGATATATTGATAGTGCAACATTAAAAAGGTTAATAGAGTTGATTTGACTTATTATTTGTCTCACTACTTCTATGTGAAATCATTATTTCTAAGTTTTGAAACTACAGTTCCCATGATGTTTGTTGTTTGATATTAACAGGAAGTATAATTTTGCCATTAATTCATTCAGTTACACAGCAGGCTACAACTTGAGCCAAATTACCAGCTAGCATTAGCAGTTTGTAGTGAAGCCAGGGATGTACAGACAACACTGTGGTGATTCCCTGGTGAGCTCCGGAGCGTCTTTTTTTATATGATTTCTAAGTGGATTTGGTCGTGATGTGCATCACAGATGTGATATCCTCAGTGACACTGAATCTATAAATATGTCTACCATGTCTGTGTGTTTTGGATTTGACTCTAAGAAGAAGTGTTTTTTGACAAACAGCGACAAATAGGCGCTGGGGATTTTGGAAGTTTCAAACTGCTGTCAGAGCCGCAGCTGCAACTGTTGACCTTGTAGATAACAGTTTCAGATATGAAAATGTGAGTTTTCAATGATTTCAATGTCAAATAATAAATAAAAATGCCTGGCACTACCTCACTGTGCTTCAAGGTTCTCTCTGGGGTCGTGTCAGTTTTGTCCTTCCTTCCTCCATAAGACAATGTGCATATTTTGTATCTGAACTGAATACACCACAGTGAAAACCTTCAGTATTGATAGATACAGACGTGACATACAGCACAGGTGTAATAATTACACAAAACTGTGTGTCATTAACCTTAAAGCAAACAGCTGTACACAGGTTATTAATCACCATCCTGAGGATGTGACATTGAGCTGTAAATGTAAACAATGAATTCCAGGGTTGTGATTCAGACTCATACTTGGTCTACACTTAATGTCAACATGACATCATTAGTGACTGTACTCAAACAAAGAGCAGGTGTGTGTGTGTGTGTGTGTGTGTGTGTGTGTGTGTGTGTGTGTGTGTGTGTGTGTGTGTGTGTGTCATTAAACACACAGGAGGATGTGTGGTGATGGTACGCTCTGCAATGCAGGGAAGTGGCACGACAAAGACGCAACAGACTGAAATGATGCTTGTGTAGTTACAGAGTAAAAACACTGTTTGTGGTGTCATTGGTGAAAATATCCCATAATCACATTGAGATCATATTTAACACCTAAACCACAGTCATCTGTTAGGGTAACATTGTGTAATTGAGCCTGTAAATGTAAATGTACACATAAGAACATTTTGTATATAATAACGTTAACAGACTACTTAAAGCTTTTTCAGTATCTTTCGTTATTTCTTTTTTTATGTATGTATGTAGGTTTCTTCCCTTTTAAAAAAAATGGTGCTCAATAAAAGCTGCATTATTTGATTTTTTAAAATAATTAATTTAAATATTACATTTATAATCAGAACAAGCTGTATAAAGTGGCCGTGGTGGACGTGTTCATAAACAGCTACCTATTTACTTTTCATATTAGCACTTACCCGGCATTGTGTTTCTGACCTGACTTGGAAATATCTGAATTTATGTATAAATTTGTCTTAAGATATGATCAGATCCTCATCTAAGATACAATTATGGACATAATCCATTTTAACTAATAACACACAAATCACTGTATTGCTCTCGTCCATACTGAATAAATCAATCAACCATTCACAGTGTAGGTGGAAAACTTATGTGAACATCTCAGTAAGGTTGCATGGAGTCTGGTGCTCATGTCAGGACACCACAGAGGAAAGAAACATCACTGTGAACTTCAGGTTTTGCGAAGAGCAGCTTGACTCTACACAACACTGCTGGTAAAAGGATTTGTGGACTGATAAAAAAATAAAGTTGAAATGTTTGGGAGGAACATGCAGCAGCATGTACGGTGTAAGAGGGGCTCTGAATACCAACATCAAAACCTCCACATCATCAAGGGGAAAAATGAATTCCTCAGTTTATCAAGGTATTTTACAGTGTGTCTGTCCATCCGCTGAAGCTCATTAGAAGCTGGGTGATGCAGCAGGACAAAGAGCCTGAACATCAAAGGAAATCTGCTACAGAACGACTTCAGACAAAGAAAATCTACCTTCTGGAGTCAGAGCCCAGAATCCAGCAGAGAAGCTGTGAATGAGCTGAAGAGAGCTGCTCACACCAGACATGCTGAGAATATGTCTGAGCTGAAGCAGTTCTTTAGGATAAAATATTAATTTGTCTTTCTTTCTTATTCCATTGCTAAAAAAAAACCCTGCATCATACAGGGAATAAAAGTAAGTTTACATGAAAGCTTCCTCCTCCACATCCTGGAGTTTAGCTCCTGTGTGTCCTGTTTTCTGTCAGTGCGCTGTTTATTCATGCAACCGCCGTCTGTGACCGGTTCGCTGTATGACTAAAGAACTTGGGGAATTCTTGCTGTATGTACTGGTGTGTCTTCTATTTCTTTTCATTCCAGCCTGTCTCCAGTGGGGAATATCAGCCTCTGTTAACATCTATGAGTCCCCTCCCCTCTCATGTCAAACGCTTCCATGATGTCCAGTGGACCAAGACCGCGTCATGCTCTCAGGATGTTCAGCCCAGTGCTCACGTACTGTTTGTTCAGTAGATTTTGTTATTAAAATTTTATCTGATGGCGGTTTTGGCGCCCATTGCACACCTGACTGGCCCTTTCTGTGATGTCTTGTGTGAATTTTCTCTTCTTTTTTTTTTTTGTCCTTGTGAGGATTTAATTCAAGTAAATTCCTTCTAAATTTTCTGAGTTAAAAAAAATGAGCATGGAGCTCTTTGCCACTGTAAATAGGGGCTACCTTAACAAATTTGTGTCACCCATGTTGTCATATTTTCAGTAACTATTGTTTTGACCGGACAGCTGCAGGAATCAAACATGTGTCTATGTACACAGCTGCCTCCAAGAGTGGATCATCATGCAAACAAACTCAAACAAGACATAGTTACTATGACAGAATCATTTATCTGCACTGTTTCTCTTTTAGTTCAAGAACACACTCTAAACAAAAGCAGTGTGTGTGTGTGTGTGTGTGTGTAAGTGTGAGTATAAGTGAAATCCTTCATTTAAATGGTCATAATATTGTATATAATAAAACACTGGATGTGTCTTTATCATTTCCACTTGTGGCACAGCGTCCAGGTTGTGTTTTCACTGCTGTTAACTGGCTGATGGTGATCAAACAACATCACACAGACACACACACAACACCATGATCAATGGCCCAAAAAGACCACACACATAATACAAACAGACACAGCTAGAGCTCTAAAATCACGTCTGTGATTAGACACAGTTGGCGGAGCAAAGTATTAAAGCGAGGACTTACCAAGAAAAATGATGGTCTGCTTCCTGGCCATCTTGACCTTCGAACTTTCATGCTTGGGTCCTCCTAGAGTTCCACCGGTCGCTCCATCCGGGGAACCCATAGGTCTCCGCAGGACCAGGATCATAGCTCGGCACATGAAGGCCACGCAGATCACCACCATCATGTAGACAATGAAAGCCACAAAGAGGCTGACCCGGTACATCACCCAGCGCTCCCTCAGATTGGTGCAGAAGGTCAGATTCTGGACGGGCGTATCCGCGCGGAAGGGAATGTGGCCCTGTGTTCCCGTGGCGATCAGCAACGGCAGGGCCACGAGTACGGACACCAGCCAGGCAAAGGTGATAAGGGCAGAGGTACGTTTGCCACCCAGGGCTTTGAAGCGAAAGGGGTGGCAGATAGCCACGTAGCGCTCGAAGCTAAGCGTGGCTACGTTGAGGATGGTAGCGTAGCTGCAGGCCTCAAACAAGAAGTTGTAGATCTTACAGGAAGCGTTGCCTGATGTGGATGTGAATGGGAACCAGATGGCACTGTAGAGCTCCACCGGCATGCCGATGAGCAGCACCAACAGGTCGGAGCACGCCAGGCTCACCATGTGGTCGGTCACGTTCTTCTGAAGGTAGCCATTTCTGTTCAGCACTTGTGTCACCCTGATAGTGACTGAATTACCCACGATACCCGTCACCAGGATGAGGCTATAAAAGACCGTCAGGAAGATTTTGACGGGGTAGTTAGGTTCAAGTTCACTCCAGTCTTTCTCATCTGCTATCTCCATTTCCCCATTCATGGTTACGAGTGGTGCGCTCAGATTGTCCAGGTATTGATTTTGCCCTTCAGCTTATCAGTTCTGCTGGGTGCAGCCGCCGTGATTAGAGCCGAGATCCAGAAGTGAGTTTATATATAAGAGCTTACACTGAAATTATGGTCTAAATATTCAATACCTTAACCCCGAAGTCCAGTGTGCGGCCCCGAGCCTGGTCCATCTCCTCTCGTTTCGGATGATCATCTGGAATCCCCTAGAGTCCCCACAGGTCTTAGTCCAGAGTCTGTGGTTTCATCTCAGTCTGTGCAAAGTGTTAGTCAACATTCAACTCCCACAAATTTCCTCCTCCCTCCTGTGAGGGCAGGGCAGTTAAACATTAAACACTACTACAGGCAGCACGAGTGCAGAGGCCTGGTTTCACTCATTATTATCAGGACTCCCTTTCACAGAAACACTCTGTTTTACTTTCAGTTACAGTCAAGATTAGAAACATGGGTAAACGGTGTTGCAACTTGCAAACAGATAAGAAAAAAATGGAAAAAATATTCCTGATTTTAGGCAACTAAATCAAACTGAATGAGGTTTACAACATTGAAGTTTTGATAGGATAAAAATGGAGATATGACACACTCAGAGATCCTGAAAGTGACACTCACTTTAAACATGACTGAGAATGTGCACCTATGAAAACAATAGACAATAACCACGTAGGAAGACAGAGGAGGCAAGAATGAAAAGGTTAGCTTTATGCTTGAAATAAAAAAAATTAAAAAAAAAAAACAGGCAGGGAAGTTGAGAAGAGGAACAAGACTGAAATAATCCAGGCATATCTGCATGGCTGAGGTGAACATATTTTCCACTGAGTTCAAACCACCAGACCACAATTATCTACCATATTTACATGGTAGATAAAAATGATGCTATTAAAGACTGATGATAAATGTACTTATTTATAATATTTACTTTAAACACTGAGAAGAACAGAATGCAGCCTTGGAAAAAAGACTTCACCAGGCACAGAAATGATACGGACAGGCTTAACCTGATTAGGAAAAAGCCTGAGTGCCTTCTCACTGTGATTGAATATTGTCAGATACTGTCAATTAAACCTTCATGTGCTGCATGTCGTCACATTGTCAGCCAGATGTTTACTGTCAAAAGTGAGGTAAGTAAAATCAAGGTTGATTGTTCATTATGATCCTGAAGCCTCTTAATTGATGTCTCAATTCTCATTTCAATTATCTGCTATTGTGTCCAGACGTCTGCATTTAATCACATAGCATGAGACAATTCATTTGTTATATCTTAGTAATGAGGTGCTCATGTGTAAGAGGCTGCATGAAACTGTCTGTGTGACTTTGAAATAAACACACCACGGCCCGGAGCCGCTCTGTGTCTGCTGAGCTAGAAATTATCCACAGCTGTCAGATGTTAAAGGAAATAAGCCAAACATATAATGGCTGACAAACATGAGAGGGACTTCCTGAATGTCTCATTATTTACATTACAAAAGCAGTCACGCACTGGAGCGTTAAGGACGACTTAGCCTACGTAAAGCTAGTCATCATATTACTAGTCATAAAAAAAGCAAAGGAGATGAAAGAATGTGAAGGAAAACACTTATTCACTTGAGTCTCCACTTGACACTGATGAGATTATAAAGGACACTCTGCTCGACATGCCTCAGGGAAAATATACTCTCTACTCTCTGAGACATAAAATGTCTACTGCTTTGTGTAACAGCAGGTTAGTATGGATGTCCAACTTCCATGATGCATATGGTTGTAAGGCATGCTCTGTTTGCAGACATGCAGAAGCACAACTGGTGTTGCACAGTGTAGATGTACAGTATTTGGCCTCTTTTCTAAATTCAAAGGTACGTGAAAGCTATTTTAGGCAGACTCAGTAATGTTTTTATACATAATGAAAGAGAATATTTTGTGCATCAAAATAAATCTCTAAATGAAATACAGGAAAGTTTTTTGTGTCTCAGGCAAAATTGACACCTTGAAGGTGAATGTGTGAACCGAGCCCTGCCTCCATGAGAGAATCTGTAATTAGATGGCATCGCAAGCTCTTCTCTGTTTATATTTTGTTCATTTTGTGTCTGTCTTTTTCTTTCTTGCTAGCAGCTTTAAGCTGTAGCAGTGCTTTGAGCTGAATGCTAACATCAGCATACTGACATCTTATACAGCATTTTTGCTGATACTCGCTGATAATTCATAATGTTTAGCACGTTCGGCATCTTGGAATAGCATGGTAACACACTAACGTTGGCCAATTATCACTTGTAGCTGACTTTATGTACATAATTCACCATAGTTGGTGGCTTGCTGTGCTGCACGTTCTCGACACGCAGTTACTCTGTGTGCCTTTCTGCGCCGGGTCTGTCACATGGTGTCTTTAAGAAAGAAGGTTTCCAGGGTGAATAAGAATAAGATGAATACATTCATGCAGGAAAAGAAGGAACTTGTCTATCACTATTTTCTTGCAATTTGTAAATAAAGTGGAGCTGACATTGATGAGAATGTCATTACTTTTGTTTTGCAGGTAATTTAGTCATTAACCAAAGTATTGGACTCAGTAAAAGTTTTACCTAACGATGGTGTGAGGTGAACAAGTTCAGAACTTTTGGTCTAGTAGATGTTCAGATCTTTCACTGGATAAATAAAAAGTCTGAGCGGTTTGTGGCACCAGACAGAGTATATAGGTTTCATCCACTGGGAATCATGAATGTCTGTATAACATTTTGTGGCAATTCTTACAATATGTGACCAAGTATTTCAGTCTGCACCAAGTACGTGAGGTCACCGTGACTTTGACCTTTGACTACCAAAATCTAACCAGCTCATCTTTGAGTCCAAGAGAGCGCTTGTACCACATGTGAAGAAAGTACCTCAAAGTGTTACTGAGACAACGCATTCACAAGAATGGGACAGACAACATCCGGAGCCCAAGTCATAAAGATGGAATGGGCTGTTAAATAATCACAGCAACACCTCCATATAACGCAGCTCCATCATGGTCTAATGTTGTGTTCACGACCGCGTGGTCAGGAGATGATAGCAACATAGAAGAAAAAAATGCTGTTGTTGTGTCACATGTCTCCTCCTGTAGAAATACGTAATTTAGAGCAGAGACTTAAAACAATATGTTTTAATAGTGCAGTGTAAGTATGAAAAGTCTTGCAAAACAACAGGATTATTCAAGAGCTTCGGCTGATAAAAGGGACGCTGCTATCACAGCCTCTCTCTGGGCCTTCATTTACATCTTATAACATCTTCATTAATGACACTTAAAAGACAAAGAAATTGCTCAGATAATAAAAACAAGACAAAGAACCTGAGAAAGAAATTAAAATAACATGATTCCACAAGCACCACTGATAAAAGATGAAGAGATAACTTTCTATGCAGCCAACATTAGAAATATCATGACCTGTAAAAAGAAAAAAAACCCTTTCACACGTGCAGTCATGACAGAGGGTGGCAAAAATACAGTAAGTGCTACAATGAATCCAGCTTCCATCTGTCACTTACAACTGCTCGACCCATTAATTGACCCTCGCCAGCTGCTTATTTCCTCCTGCACTTGATACGTCCAGTCAATGACGAGTGCAATAAAAACACTCCATAAAGATGTGCACACGTCTGGCATTTAACGGGATGAGTGGACCAGCATTTACATCTCACCTTCAACTGCGATGTACACACCCTCGGTCACATGACACACACTGAGGCTGCTAAAAGAAACGCTTCGTCTCATCACATGAAATCACAAGCAGTAAATTAACGGACCACGTACAACAGTCCGACTGCCGTGATATAATCTCCGTTGCAACTGTGATGCAAACTCTTCCTCCGGCAGTAATCATTTAAATAATACATCAAATATAAACCGATACGTCATCTCAGAAGATAAATCTGTAGTGTTCGTCTGAGGTTCACAAACAAACATCAATACTCTGCTAATGTTTCACTGTGTACAGTATTTACACCCATCGGAGAGGGAAGCTGCTCGTTCAAGCAGACGACCGTTATTGCAGCGAGACGTTTTTTTTTTGTTTTGTTTTTTTGTTTTTTTTGTAGCTTATAGCGAAGGTTTGTGTCTCTGTCACAGTTTGTCTTCAGGTATCCAGCACTGTCAGGGGAACAAGGGCAAACGAGAAGGTTGTTGGTCTGTAGGATGTAGTGCGGCTTCAATTTTCTTCTTCCAGCATCAGACTAATAAAAGTTTTCCTCAACAGAAGAAAATAAAAACAAGACATAGAGATTTTCTTTTGCAAAGATGCTCTCATGACAGTGTTAATATCACCTGAAGGTCTGGAGGAGGTGGAAGGTATCATGCAACGCATTTAGAGGTCGCTCTGAAGTGTTCTGTCATTACCCGGGCTGCTGAGGCTGGGCAACATGAATTCATCACTGAGCTGCATTTCTAATTCTATCTGATCATTGGCCATATACACTGATTAATCATATCGCTGATTTGAGAAGCAGGAATCTCAGATAGCAGCTAAAAAAAATCCATGACAGTGAAGCTGACTCTCCAAAAAAGAGAGAGCGCTGCAGTTCAAGGATATAATTCAAGGAGGTGCTTCCCCATAATGCTGCCTTGGTGATACTAACACCATCAGAAAAGACTAGGTTTGCTCTGTAAGTGTGCAAATGGCCATATATGAAATAGCCAGTACAAATCATCATCCTTCATAAAATAGTGATGGGAACTCTTTTCCACTGATTGAGATTTTCCAAAAGACACACATGCAGCCACTCCACCTCTGTTAGTGTTATGTTCAAGTCCAACATGTACCGTTTCATTTGGTCACATGACACCATAGTAATTACTGATAATGTAAAAAAAAAAAAAAAAAAAAGTGACATGAGTACCTCAGTCTGTGACGACTGACATGTGAAAACAAAAATGAGCTTGTAGAAATGGCTGGGTCATCTCAAAACTGTAGAAAATAAATAGTTATAATAGGAGGCACTGGGGTAGTTCAATGTCTCTGAAAGCTTCCAGAATGTCCCGCTCAGCGAGATCCACAATCGCCACCTGGGGAGATAAAGAAAAAAAATATTACTAATGAATCAGCGTTTAAAACTTCATGTTTATATATAAATAATATTTATATGAGAAACACTAAAAAAGAATCATTTGGATTATGGTGATTATGGGGGCCTTGGAGTCGTGACTTCAGTAGTACTGGCTACAGCCCCGTCAGTTCTCTGGATTCAACTTCTTGTCGCTTTTCTCTTTTTATATAATTAGAAATTGAACAAAACCAGAAACCTTTGAAAGGTCACATTCAGCTCTGCCAGCCTTGGATGAATGGTTTTTTTTTTTATTTTATAGTTACAATAGTAAAAGTAACAATTAACTGAAACAATAATCAAAAGGTTAATCCATAATGAAATAATCATCAGTCGCAGCCTTATTTCTATGAAAATGGACACACAGACACACATACACTTGCTCCTGCAGCCTATGTTATGTAGTGGCCTTATGCTATAATCATTATGGAAGTTTCTCCATCTCCTCACAGGATCTCTGCAGCTCAGCCACAGTGACCATCAGGTTCTTGGATTGCTGAGCTCTAGGAAGAGTCCAGGTTGTTCCAACTTTCTTCCATTTAAGAATTACAGAGGCCACTCTGGTCTTGGTGCAGCAGATCTTTCTTTTTTGATGTAAAAATTTTTTGTTTTGTTTTGTTTGTTTTTTCAGGGTCTGAATACTTCAGATATTTCCGGTTGCAAAATTTCTAAAATTCTGTTTTTGCAATACCCCATGATTATGGGGTATTGAGCGTAGATTGATGAGGGAAAACATGAATTTCAACGATTTTAAGGGTCTGAACACTTTCTGGAAGCTCCTTATAAACCCAGCAGGCTTAAGTCTGCTCTAAATTGCACTGTTTTCATTCCCCACTAACGCCTCTATTAGAAACCACATGCTGAGTTCAAAATCTCTCTCTCGGACCTGCTGGCAATTACTTTGCAGGTTTAGGAAGCAGAAAAGAAAAGTTTGAGGAAACCTGTGAACAGTGAAGAGACAGCAGCTTCACTGACTTTGTAGAGTGGGTGGTCAATCTCTGATCTAAAATATTTATATCATGATCATCCTGTCCAGCTCATCCTCTGTCCCTCTTACTCAACACGTCAAAAACACAGAGCGTCAGACAAATGCTTGTCAGATGTTCAGTGCAACCAACTAAAGGAAAGCAGAAATTCTGAGCTTCATCAACTGTTGCAAAATCCTTGTTTTTTGATACTTAAAGCTGATGTGTTTAATATTTTGTTTAACAAGGTTTTCCCAAATAAAAAGTGAAAAAAAAAAATGGGTCTGAAGCTCATCTCTTCTTCCTTCCTGATTAAGAAATGTGGCTCAGGCCTTTTGCCCCGCCCACCACCTGCTCCCTCCAGGTGGACAGGTGAAAGAGCAGAGAGTATCAAGATGGTTAGAGGAGGAAACATCAGAGAGACTCAGCCACATGTTTGAGCCTCAGTCAGTTGTGCAACCAAGGTTAGGTTTGTGACGTATGAAACCCTGGCTGTCTGAATCTGTTGTTATGAGACTGTCATTGGTTCACTGCAGTTCAAGGTGGAAACACTCAGCCATGATGATTATTTCACTCATCATATGTCTTGTATTGTGTAAAAACATCATATGGACATTAACAAGGTAAAATACTTGCTTTTCATCACAGGGGTCTTTAAATCTTTCAAACATTTTATCTTTAAAGCTGCACTACTTGATTTTTTTGTCCAAATAGTGTTTTTTATATATTACAAGGCAAAATAAGCAGTCAACATTTGGTTGCACAACTGACTGAGGCTCAAACATGTGGCTGAGTCTCTCTGATGTTTCCTCCTCTCACCATCTTGATACTCTCTGCTCTTTCACCTGTCCACCTGGAGGGAGCAGGTGGTGGGCGGGGCACAAGGCCTGATCCACATTTCTCAATCAGGAAGTAAGAGGAGATGTTTTTAATTTTTTTCCACTTTTCATGTATGAAAACCAAGTTAAACAAAATATGAATCATTGCATTGGATTTTTACAGTGTTTAAAAATAAAAACATTTAAGCCTTAACTTTTCAAAGATTTTTCAGCTTTTTTCCATGGGTAAGAATTTCCATGCTGATTTATTTATGTCTTCACATTCACACACACAGTAACACATACATGACAAACACCCGTCCAATCGTCACCACACAAATCAAGGCAAAGAGGGCTGACTTACTCTGTGTTTTACTGCTGGATCACGAACAGAAGCTTCCCTCGCTGTGGGACACTGTGTGTAGGGGAATAAGGCTTTCACACTGCTCGCTGTCTTCCGGCAGTCTGTAGGCAGAGGGAGCAGCGTGTCAGTCATCATCACAGTCATCATCTTTGACAACCATCATTATCATAATAATCCCTCACCAAATGGGAACAAGCGTTCACAGGAGAATAGATAGCATGACTGCTGCAGAGAGGTTAGTCAGTCGAGCATGTACGTCTGATTACAGACTTAACTTAGCGAGGCTGTGAGCGACGAATGGAGTCTATTGTCCTTGTGAGAATGTCAGAGAAGAAAAGACTAAGTGTTTGTCACAGTTATGGTCAATTAATTTTTAATAGGTCACACACCACAATACAATGAAACAGCAACTCACTTTCTAATTTAAACTTTAAAAGCTTCAACTTTTTTAAAAAACTGGGGTGAAAATAATTTCATGTTCACGTTTTGTCAAAAACTCACTTGCACAGACTTGAGGTGTGCGTGTGCGTGTGCGTGTGTGTTTGCCTTTAACAAATGGAGCTCATAGAAGCAGCATTTTCCCCAAGTCTGTTGACATTCTTTCTGCAGTTGCGTCATAAACGCCATAGAAACCACATCTGACACCACTGAGTCCACTGGAAAATGACGGTACACAAATGATGGCTCAATGTGACTAATAACTTGTCTGGAAAAAGACAGACACCTGGAAATGAATGTTGTGTGATTACGATAATGTGATTAGTCCAATAAGATAAATTTGTCTCAAAGTGAGACTTGTTTTGTCCCTGAAGCAAAGTGGTTGTTTTTGTACCAGTGGTCATTAGTGCCTTAGGTGAGTTAAGTCAAGTTCACTTTTCTAGCTTCATATCAGGGTTCCCACACCTTCTTAAACGTCAAACTCAAGGACCCAACACCACATAGTTTGAGACACAGAGCAATATTAACTAGTTACAACACTAAGTTTTACAATGAGAGTTAGCGGGCTATACAGAAGCTCACAGGCAGCAATAAAAAAAAAAACAGAGAGCGGCTTGAATGTGGGGACACTTTTCAGTTGTGCTGTGTTATAGTGATGGTCTCTTGCCCCCATGCTGACAGCAGCATTCAGCCCATTTATTAATGTTAAGTTAAAAAAAATTTTAATTAGAAATGTAATTAAAAAAAAGGATTTCTACTTTTGCACAGAACATGGAATTTCAAGCACTTTCAATCACCCATGTCTAATTATGTCCAATTTCAAATTCTATTTTCACAAACTTTCAAGGATATCAAGGACCTGTGGCAGCCCTGTGATATAATTTTAGGCCATTAATAACCAGGCACATTATGAAAAGCAGCTTGCTAGATTAATCACCTTGTAATGAAGCTGTAACCACGGACCGAAGCCCTCTTCTGATGGTGTGTTGGTGTATTCAAACATGCAGAATGCTGCTTCCTCAATGCAGGAAATTTAAATGTTGATTTGGGATAATCCATTTCCAGCACATGATCTAAACACACACACTGCTGAACTCACTGCTGTTGGCCTGAGGAGGCTGTAGACGGTTGGATCAAACATTAAGTGCATTTTTTGACATGACTGAAATAAAAGGGCTTAACTGTGATGTCACTGTGAAATCACCCCAGATGTCCACTGGCTGCAGCTGCTCTCAGCTCCGGAAGCAGAGCATCAAGCAGTCTGTTCCTCAGCAGCCAAGAATGTTTCCAGGTGTTAAAAGCAAACTGAACACACTGTTTCGCAGGTCAGTCTAATGTAGTGACAGATGTTTTATGGCTGTACTTTTCTTTTTGTTATTGTTGTTGTTGTTGTTGTTGTTGCGGTTATTTTTATTAAGATGCTTCTACACTTATGTGTGTGTGCATACAGGAACAAGAGTGTATTAAAGCACACAACCACATGAGGTTGAGCTTCACAACCGAAGCGCTGCTGCCGGGAACTGAACTGCATTTTATTACCATTTAAGACGCTTTCATGTTCGCTTCTTTTTTCCGTCCCCTCAGCCAGAAACACTTCATCACTTAAATTGTCAATTAAAAAAAATCAAACTATCAACTTGCAAATTTCATTGAATCGACCAAATGTCAGAGGTTTCAGAAAAGTCCCTGCTCGCAATAGTATATTACCATGTGATAATAATGTAACATTGCCAAAAAAGAATCAGTGTTGTCTCTCATGCATTACCTGTCCCAAGTAAGTGTCAAGTCTCTGCAAACTGTGTCTCATAGTACCTACAAATGTACTGGAACAAATGGCTGCTTGAACATGGTCAGAGGTAATCTATATGTAATCCATATGTCATTTGTACGCATGTTAGTCAGCGCACTGATAGATGTGGTCAGTGCGTTCGGTTGCTTAGCTTCCACAGGATATTATGTCACATGAAAGCCCGGTGGAGAACCAGGACGTACCTCTGAATGCGATGTTTCCTGCAGATGAAGGCGTACACTCTCCTCAGCCCCACCAGGACGGGGTCCCAGTTGTTATAGTGGCATAAGAGCGTGGCGATGAAGAAGGAGAGGAAGACAGGGACTGCCCCGGCAAAAAACAGCCACGAGAAACGTACCTGAACACACACACACACACACACACAGAAGAAAGTAACCAGTTATTAGTGGTGTCATTACTGGACTTTAGTTTCTGAGATTAATTTATAACCACATGGTCAAAAAAGTTATTTGACTTGTAACATAAATAAATACTTACATCACAACATTAACTTCAGTAAATAATTTTCGGGTAAAGCAATACGACAAATACAGAAGACAGTTAACAACCTCTATGAAGACACATGTATACTCTATGGTTTTCAGTGGAAAGTATCACCCCCACAAAATCCCCAAATGTCCTCATTGTTAATGTTTTTAAACTCAACTGTGAACTGTGTTGAGTTTAAAGAGAATACGTCACCTTGACAAAATTAGAATTAAAACTATAACAAGACCACTTCTGCCAAAAAATAAATTTGAGGACTAATTTACATCTATTAAGTTGTTGCTTCCATTTAATTAGAGAAAGGGTTGGAAAATAGAGAAATTCATATTAACATCAAAACAGGACAGAAGTGGCTTATATTGACTTGTAAAACAATCAACACTTTAACTTACCTTTAATAGAACATTGAAAACATTGACTTGAAATGTCAATAAATTAAATTCAGTTTTAACCAAATTATTTGTTTCATCTGATCAGCTCGAAGGGTTAAACAGACTAAAATCATCCGGACTTTCCATTTTGCAATCCACTCTGACTCACTGTCCTCAGTCTGGAGTCTTGCCGACGCAAAACAAACATTATCTCGACTCTTACTTCAAACCCTGACTCTCATTGTGAAGTACCCGCTGTGGGTACTTACCTTCTGCATACAAATATCTGCCATAATAGACAGCGGGATGGTGAGGCTCAGTGCCAGAGTACCGATCAGTGATGATGTGAGGAAACAGCCCCTGTGGACAAAAAAGAAATATTTTAAACATAATGTACATGATGCAAGAGAACATTTTATTGACTCTGTTTAATTCCTCAGGGTGGTATCTAGATGGAAGCTCAACAAACAGAATCAAAATGTTTTATAAAGCATTAAATCCTAATGATTTAGAATTGTGACCTGCATAAATTATGGATCATGTGCTCACCAGAGCCAGAGGAACTCCGAGAGAACCGTTCCGATGAGGCCGTTGATGAGGATGTACGTCCACACCAGCTGGCTGGGAAGTTCAAAGGCCTCGAAGCCCGTGTAGTGGAGCAGGAGGAAGCCAGGCCACAGCAGCAGCAGGTTGAACAGACCCACAAACCCTGAGAGACACACAGCGGTTAAACCAAGACAGCTCTAAAGAAAACCACTGTCGGCCAGAGTAGCTTCAGGTTCATGGAATAAAACCTCTTCTGCTGAGTGTTTAATACATGAAGAGGGTGCAGACATTGTTAAGAAATAACTACAACAACTGGTGCACATTTTAACTAGAGGGTTGTACGTCTCGGCCAGCTAGTCAAGGTGCAGTTTACATCCACATCTGTCCAGACTCATAACATCTGTAGACTGGAGGGAATTAAATAAAAGATATTAGTGTATTTTTTGATTTGGGATTTGGGATTTACTGAATAAATAAAACTGATTTGATCTGTTGCTCTTGTTCTGCTGTATGTCTACTGCACTAAAGTTCATTGAGAGAAATAAAAACCACAGTCAGACTCCATGATGTGTTCACTTGCTTGGTCAATAAAGCTGGTTCTGACAGAGCAAAGGTGCAGCCATGACAGCAGACAATAATTCAAATATGGATGTTGCTAAAATGTGGAGGCCTCACGCACGTGTTCAGCCCGGCAGCACAGAAGATCTGTACAGTCATCACAGTTTCAACGTGGACACCAGTTCAGTCTCCAACCACACGTGAAATATGGTCGTCATCTCCCCCTCTGTTCCTGAGTTACAGTGTTGAATAATGGCCAGAAAAGTGTTTTTGCAGTGAAGTTGACCTTTCACTTTTTGGATGTAAAACATCATCACTTCATCAGTTAGAATTTAGGAATGTCTTCTGGTTTTACCATCCCTGCACACAAGCAAACACAGTCCTGACAGCTCTGGTCTGTGGTTCCCCGATGGTGGAACAAGATACACAATGCTATCAGAGCAGAGGCGTCTCTCTCTATCTCCAAGAATCTGCTGAAGACTTGTCTCTTCAGAGAGCACCTCAGAAGGTGATGTCCCTCATTTGAAAATCCTTCTGGATAAAAGCGTCTCCCAAATAAGTAAATATAAATGCAAATGTAGAATCCCTTTATTGTCATTGCACAACAGTACAATGAAATTTAAATTGCTATTCCTAACATCAAAACAACAGTGAGAGAAAAAACTAGTTAGAAAATGGAATAAAACTAAATCTTGAAAAAGATTCAGACCAGATGTATTTATAGTAAAAGAACTTACAACACACACACACACACAGACACACACACAGACACACAAGCTTTAAGTCTTTGAATGTCTAGAATATTATACATTATTGACTGAGACCACTTTCATGTGAAAGTGAATGGGTAAGTGGTCTCTGACTTTAGGACCCCACTGTAAGTATTGCACTGATGCAGATATTGCACTAAAACAGTGAATATTTGCAGAGACACTGTCCTACATTATATCCACTGGTCAGAGTGAGGGCTCCTGGCAGAGGGAATGGTTATAGATAGGTACAGACTTGGCAGAGTTTAGTTCACAGATGGCCCTCAGTTAAAACTTCCTGAGTCTGGAGGTGTGGTGGGATTTTATGGCCCTGTAGTGCTTGCCAGAGGGCAGCGGGGCAGGTGATGTCCGGGGTGGGATGAGCCTTTGAGGATGTTGATTGCTCTGCGAAAGGGAATAGAGTTGGGAACCATTTCCATGCTGTCCCCCGTTGATAAGGAGAGGCGTTATATTCTCCTTTATTTCTCCTGAAGTCAGTTATTAGTTGGTTCTGTTTGTTTTGCCGGTTTTTAGTGCCATGTTATTCTCAGAGCACCTGCCTCCCTGATGTCCCAGATGGTCACAGATTCTGCGGCTCCCCTGGCTGGCCTCGATGCTCACTGGCACTGTACCCGTGCAACCTGAAGGGTCTAGCGCCCGAGGACAGTGAGCTGGAGACAGTTGGCACCAGGTTCTGCCACTCCTGCATTGGACATGGACACTGCAACACCGTGGATGGTCACCTCAGCTCCATTAGATGATCCTGGGGTTTGCACTGGAACTGGAAGCTCAAGACTCCGGTGAATAGCTCTATATAAAAAAAAGTGTAGAGTATGGGACCTTCTAATCCACCAGCAGATGGGCTGGGAAAGGCCAGGGTCAGCCGGTTTGGTGACCCCCTATTGGGGACTATTGTATTAAAGGCAGAGCTGTAGTCTATGAATAACAACCTTGCATAGGTCCCTTAACGTTCAAGGCGTGTCAGTGTGGTGGCGATGGCACATTCTGTTCACCTATTTGGTCTGTACACAAACTGGAGCTGATGGAGGGTGGGTGAAAGGTGCCTATGATGTGCTTTACGATCAGTCTTTCAAGTACTTTATGACAGTAGGTGTAAGTGTGACTGGTCGTTAAGGCTGTTGATGGCATCCACATCTCACGTCTGATGTTTGCTCTATGAGTGTGCAGCTATTGGAGGCTGGAGGGGGAGTCGTATCAACCCCATGTCCCTTTGTCTCGAAACGAGCAAAGAAGCAATTTAGCTCCTCTGCTAGAGAAGTGTTGCCATCGGCAGCAGTGGTGATTCGGTTCCTGTAGTTGGTGACGTGCTGGATGCCTTTCCACACGCAGTGGAGGTGAGCGCTGGTGAAGTGGTCCTCAATCCTCTGCTTGGACGCCGATTTGGCCTCCTCGGTGCCCCCCTCCGGGCTGGATCTGGTAACACTGAACATTTCGCAGTGGCAAGACATGAAGGTTATGTTGCAGACTCTGAGCAGGGTGTGGACCTCCTTTGTCATCCAGGATTTTTGATTTGGAAAAACCCAGATACGCTTTTTCATGTTGTTTGCGATTGTTCTAAATCACATCATCCTTGAATCCAAGTGAACGTTTGTACCAAATTTGAAGAAACTCCCTGAGGGCGTTCCTGAGATGCCGCGTTTAACGTCAATGGGAGGGACGGATGGACGGCCTGAAAACATAACAGCTCCAGCCACAGAGGCATAAAAAGTCTGGCCTTAAAAAAAAAAAACATACTGAGCATTTGCTTACCAAAGAACATGGGAATGTCAAGCTTATCCTCCCGGTCCACTCGTCTCTTGATCATTACTATGTAGACAGCGTAAAGTATCGCCCCCGCCAGCGACCACAGAGAACCTTCATAACAATTTAAAAGTCATCACATTTAAACAGAGGGTTTCAAACTATATTAATTACACAATAGTGATGTCAAAGAGTGACAGATACTTGCTGTCTCCATGGTTACCTATGACACCCTTCCCATCAGGGTTGTCCATGCTGGAGAAACTCACAAGGGCCACACCTCCCATGCTAAAGAAGGGGAAGAAGAAGAAGACGAATTTTTTAGACACCAATTATATTTTTTTAAACACAAAGGAATTTGACCACTGCATTTAACCCATCAATGAGCAGTCAGCAAACACACACACCAGCACCGGGCAGCTGCAGTGCCAGGGGAGCAGTTGTGGGTAGGCATGTCCCGATCCAATTTCAAAGATCGATATTGGGGCAGATCAAGACATTTTTTAACTCATCGGTATCGGCTGTATTGAGCACGAACCTAAGGCCAAGAAGCCTTTTCACGTCAGCTGTCACAGGGGTGTTGTGAGAGGACGCGGTGTGGAAATATTTTAAAGTGGAAAGTGAAAGCAGGTCCAACAGTCACTCAAAGACTCAACGGAATACAGTGAGTTCACTCAGGTAACTCAGGCAAAAGCTGCAACGCGGACTCCAGGAACATTAAGAAGGCGAGAGACATTTCCTCGAGACAGCAGGAGGCCAGAAAGATTACAGAGTGGTCATTGAACTCATCACTTCTGATGACCAGCCTATTTTATCAGATAGCTTTTGTCTTTACTTCAGACGTTTGCCCCTTGTCATCGCTGAGCCTCACTGCACACTGGATCAATTCCACTTTTGATTTAAAAATAATATAAAAAAACATTAAGGAATTAAGGATTGAGGATTTTTTTCTTAATCCATTGCAGAGCTTTTCAAGCATATACATTGGATTGTATGGATGTATTTGAAGTGTGAACTATGCAAAGTATCCCTGATGGGGGCAAAACTGCTCCGACGTTCACATATTCTACAATATGAAAGTGTCAAATGACATTAACAACATAGCGACTGCTCTTCTTAGGTTACAGGACTGACCTCACTGACACTGACTGGTGACCAATGTGTGACTTATTCACTTTAACTAAAATGAAATAAGACACTATGCACAACAGCTTGGATAAAATTAAAGAAATAATTTAACTCTTTGCTTTAATGGTGAGAGTCAGATGAAGAGATCGAGACCATCATGTCTGTCTGCTAAATATAAAGCTACAGCCAACAGCCACTTAGCTTAGCATAAAGATTAGAAATGGGGACACAGCTGGACAAGAGACAAGGTGATGTATGCATGTATGTATGTTTTTTGTATTTACAATGACTACTGCATGTGAACCAAACTGCTCATCTCTGCTTTGCAAACATAAGATCTTTTCATCTAACACTCATCAATAGAGCTAACAGGCATATTTCCCAAAATATTGAACTACTCCTTTTTCAACACATTCAGGTCTAAAAGCTATAACATCTGCAAAGGGCATGTGGCAACAAGCCGAGGTGATGTGCTCAATAAATTAAAAGTCTTGTGTTCAAAGTTTAGATTTTGTTCTGAATCTGGCCAGTAGTTGTCAAGATATCTTTCTTTGAAACCGTCTGAGTTTATTCACCACGGATCATGAATTCTCTGTCTGAATCTGGCCAGTAGTTGTCAAGATATCTTTGTCTGAACCCGCCACATGGGGTGAGGAAAGAAACAACTTTTACAGATCCTCTAGATGATTTAAATTTGACTTTTTTTTAGTCATAAATCAGAGCATATAATCAGAATAGCTGCTCTGTGTTCACATTGCTGCGTTTCTAACCATTGGCCACCGTGGAAGTGGCGGACTCTGATCAGTATGATGGGTTTAAATATGCAGCTAATAACACAATAATGATTGTTAGCAGAGTAAATTCATTGTTGGTTTTAGTCTTTTCATGAGATTTGTTGATCATAAAATGATAAAACATCACCAGACGTGTTCTTTAAGCCCCTGGCTGCTACGATAACTCCTGGATACAATGAAAACTAGATTTCAACAACTCTAACAAAGCAGATCAACTGAAATGTAAGAGGAAAGTGTGGAGACACAAACAACATAAAACAATACATACACATATTCATTCAGCCCTCACCTCAGAGCCACAGCTAGCAGTTTTGACAAGGTGAAGCGGTCGCTGCTGTTGCTGGGAAATATGGCTGCTAGGATGAGCGTGAACAGGCCTGAAGAGGGAGAGGTGGTAAGGAACAGTGACGATGCAGACAGCCGATAGACCAGACCACACCTCTTTAGGTTTCATTAATACAACCTTTACATTTTACTTATTGCCATGAAATTCAGAGAGAGAAATAGAGAGAGACAGAGAGAGAGAGAGAGAGAGAGAGAGAGAGAGAGAGAGAGAGAGAGAGAGAGAGAGAGAGACCTGAGGTGGACGACAGGATGTTGACGATTGCAACCTGCACATCGGACAGCGCCTCCTGGTAGGACAGGTTGGCCAGGAACCACTGGAAGACACACAGAAGCAGAGATGTGACGATGTGTACAAGGAGAGGACGAAATGACAAACACCTTACAACTCAACAGGCAAACACCAATTAACTGTTCTTCAGTTTTGATTCAACTCACTGCTCAATCTGTGTTCGCTGTGTTTGTGATGTGATTAAGCGAGCATCTCTCTCTTCCTCTTTCCTGTCATCTATTCACTCTCACTATCAGAATGCTCAGTAATAATAATAATAATATCAACTTTTTTTTTTTTTAGACCAAACTGAACCGAAAGTGCATAGTGGCTAGGTAGGGAGTGAGCCTTCAACAGATTCTTGAAGATAGAGAGGGACGCCCCTGCTCTGAAAGCATTCAGTGGCTTGTTCCACCATCAGGGAACCAAAGACCAGAACAGTCTGGACTTGTCTTGTGTGCAGGGTTGGTGATGACAGACGACATTGCTGGGAGGAACGCAGTGGCTGAGAAGGAGCATAAGGCTGAATGATTGGGTTCAAGTAGGTGGTGCAGACCCAGAAGTCTCTGTGAAGGCAGCTTTAGTGACTGAATTTGATTCAGGAGGCCATGGGTAGCAAGTGTAAGTCGATGAGTAGCGGAGCGACATTTGACCTTTTAGCCTGATTGCAGACCAGACATTCTGCTGCATTCTGGACCATCTGTAAGAGTTTCAATGTGTGTGAAGAGAGGTCCACCAGAAGGGCATTACAGTAGGTGAGGTGAGAGATAACCATGGCCTGGACCTAGATCTAGATCTGGGTGGCAAGTGAGGTAAATCAGGTAAGGGATGATTTTTCTTATGTAAAGCAGCAGGGACCGGGAGAGGGATGCAACATGGTCAGAGAAGGAGAGCTGGTCATCAAACATGACATGACACCCAGGTTTATTGCGGCCTTGGTGGGGGTAAGAGATGAAGAGGTGATTTTGATATTGATAGTTCATCATTTAAAAATGCCACAAGATTAATGACTTGCAGTTTTGGCACTCATAAACTGTGACTCTCTGCTCAGTCACATCATTGTTATAAGGCAATGGCACATCTTTTAGAGTACAAGCGAACACACACTTTTTGCTACCTGGCTTGCAAATAACACAAAAAGAATACAAGTGTGTGTTATTAATTATGCTTTATAAAAAGCAAAAAAACATAAACAGCATAAAAACAAGACACAGGTGAAGCGGTGCTGTAGAACTACAGTAGCTTCACAAAGTCTTCACTTTGTGCACACTTTATTCTGTTGTAGATTTCAGAGGGCCCTGGCTCAGGTGGTCCCTGGGTTGGCAGTTTGATCCATGGCTCCTTGAACCCAGGAAGTGTTAGGAAGGGCATCCGGAATAAAAACCTCTGTCAGATCAACTATGTGGATGGTTTTACCCATGGTGAGGTTTAAGAATTATTTGCAAATTTATTAAAAATCAAAAACTGTTACAGAAGTATTTAGATCCTTTGCTGTGGCTCCAAACTGTGGTCAGGTACATCCTTTTTGCCTGTTTGGCAAACTGAACTGACTGCACATAATTGATAAGAGCACACACCTGTGTACCTAAGGTTCCACAGTATACACTGCATGTCAGGACAAGAATCAAGCCATGAAGTCCAAGGAACTCTCTGTAGACCATTGTGGTGAGGTACAGATTAGGTATAAAACCATTTCTAAAGCTTTGCGTGTTCCCAGGGCCTCAATAATTGTGAAAAAGAAGAAGTTTGGAACCAGGACTCTTCCTGCAGTTGGCCATCCAGCAACCAGCCAAAAGGGCCTTGGTCAGGGAGCTGACCAAGAACCCAACAGTCACTCTAACAGAGCTTCAGGAGTCCTCTGTGGAGATAGAGAACCTGCTGGAAGGACGACCATCTCAGCAGCTCTCCATCAATCAGCCTTTATGATAAGAGAGTGAGTAAAAGGCAACGACAGCGACACGAGTTTGCCAAACAGCATTTAAAATTATATCTCTAGCAGCAGCTATGTGTAAGAGACGAGCCTCACTTCTGATTGATTGACTGTTTACTGAATGATCCAATAAAAATATCATAGATTTCAGGTAAACACACCAAATCCTCCAAGGTTGGATGGTGGGTCCAGGTAGTCCGGGCTTGGGGTGTGGCTGAGAGCTGTGACTGCTTTGTTGTGACATCACAAAGTTACAGAAGTCCTGACAGCTGGTTTTAAGTCTCAGTTTGTGAATACAGGCTGTGTGCATTTCTCTGTGGACTGAGCGCTTTGATACTTTCACAGTATTAATATAGAACCTAGACCTGCTTTATAATCAAACAACATATGGACATCTGCCTTTAGACTATATGGGACCTTTAAAAATAAATCTATGTACTCTAACATGTGACTATGCTTTTCAAAGACACTGTTTATTAGAACAGTATTCGGTATTCAACATTTTCCATACTATAACCTCACAGCACTGAATGTTTATTTCTAAACAAGAGTTTAATGTAAAAGATACAAATAGAGTATCTTTATTTCCAAATGTTTTGTCTCTTGATTTATTTAAAAAAAATAAATTCAGTGTTTTTCATTTCTCATCTCCTATGGAGCTATGAAATATGTCTATAATTTGATGCAGCAAAGTAAAATATAAAGTTCCTTCCAGCTGATCTCCACTCACCACAAAGCAGAAGAAGAAGCTGATTTTGGCCACATCAGTGATGGTTAGCTTGCCCACTGTGCGGAGCATGGCTTCTTGGTCCTTGGCGGCTGGGTAGGACATGCGGGACAGCTTGGCCTCCAGAGCCTGAGTGGAGGGCAGCTGACGCACCTCCATGATGTTACTGAAACGCACCCGGTGCTTTTTGGAAGCTGCTGGGAGGCAGAAATGGGAGAGAGGAGTGAATTAATGGAGGTTTTATTCAAATGCCCAAACACAGAAAATATAGTGTAATTTTGAGGCTCCATTTGTATTTGCAGCAAGACCTTCATTTTACCATAAATTACACCTAACAGCCTCCTTATCAGCTGCTAATGCGGGACTGGGACGCAACCATCATTTCCAATACAGGTGCCAAACATATGAAGCCTTGTAATTAAAACACACCAGAAACCCTAATAAACTGTCTGAGAACCTCTGCTGTGTGGCTTTGGTCTCTGGAGCCTGTCAGCCAGCTCTAGAAATTGAGGGCAGCTTTTTTCTGAAGAGCATCACTTAATCATCAGGTTTTTCAATTGCTCTGCGAAAAGCAGCTCAGACAGACAGACGACGAAATCCTGCTGTTTGTCATTTTGTTTTTATGATGGTGTGTGAAAGAAGAAGAGAGAGACAAAACATCAGACAGATGTTCCTCATGTTAAATGTAGCATTTCTGTCAGAGTGGCTTTAATCAATGATTCTGCCTATTTTCATGGCTCAGTACTGCCCTCTGTTGCTCACATTTTATCTCTCATTAATGAGACCAAACTGATGAAGTTATCAGTCACATGAGTCACGACTTAAACATTTAAACAAATTCATGAGAGCTTAGTAAATTCAGAGCGGGATACAAGACAATAAATGTGCTTCACGCTTCATTTCTATAAGGAGAAAACATCAACTGTATGTACTCACAAGATTCACAGTCTCCAATTAAACAATTTGAGTGTTCAGCGGGTACGTCCTGGAACTTGACTGGCACATACAGAGGTTCACTCTGAGAGAAAGACAAAGTCAGACATTTATAGATGTTAAATAGTCGTATAAAACAACCCTTATAACTAAGTTTGTCCTGACTCCCTACACTGACAACAGAGCAGGAAATGGTAAAACATTTTAAACAGAACACTGCAGGTAGAGTTCATCATTTACTCCGTAAATGACTGGTAGGATCACACAGTCACATCAAATATAAGCTATTAAAAGAATAAAAGTAAAACTTGTTTTCATCACTCATACTAATGTAGTTATGTCATTATGTCAAAGCTTCTCTTAATAGATAAAGCTGTTTGATAAACATGGTTAATTTCATCTGTGTGAGATGAGAGAAAAGTAATATGGATTCCACACCCCACTAGACTAACACATGCATCTCTCTCTCAGAATTATTTAGATTTCCTGTCAATTAAAGTTCAGTATGACTGCACCACTGGACAAAACCTGGCTGAGGAGCTGCAAACTGTCATGGTATATAGCTCATACATAATAAATGGTAAGATCTTGCTTTCTTACAGTGTTACATGAACTTGTGCTGAATGTTTCTGTTTTCTTGTAGGAAAAGTGTGGAAAGAAACCAATTCTCATTTATGAGGTGAACATCAGTGTTCACTGTTCTCCTCAACACTTCCTGTCTGATACCAAAATATTAAAAGGTAATGTTTTCATTCAGTCAAAATCTCAGTGAATAATATTGTTTGCTTACTGTGAATTAAATTGCAAAGTTGAACACATATATAAATACAACTATTTCTGACATAATGTGATTATGTAAGTAATGTTTAGTACTAGTTCAGACATTTATTTATTTCATAAATAGAGCAGTTTGCACTTTTGCAATTATGTCATGTCATGAAAAATGGTTAAATGATTCAAGAATTCTAATATAGACGGATCCATGCATAGTTTATAGTATATATAATACATTGTTATTATACTTTTACAGCGCTGAGCAATGCAGACCAAAATGTTCTGGGTTTGACATTGGGGATATGTTACGTCCAGCTGACTCTGTCTCAAAAAGGTATTATAATATAATTCATATAGAAAGTAGATGTAATTTAATCTTTTGACCCACCTCTGTGAAACTTTTGTATGTGTACATGTGTGATAATTAAATTTGTGAAGCTATTTTCCCCTCAGCATCAAACACGTACCAAACAGTTGTTCCCAGTGGTGTCAGTGGTGCAGGGTGCAATGTTAGGCCCTCGGCATCAGCCAAACTGCAGAAAGATGCAATTTAAACTGTCAACAGAATCAAAGACATTCTGCTGCACTGGACTGATAGAGCCTTTCACACTTCTCATCTATCTTAAAAGGTAATTGTTTTCAACCCAGGTCCTTAAAAAACATTCACCAGCAGCTTCTAAGTGAGCTTTAAACAAAGCTCAATGGGAAGATTTTTTTTTTTGGCATCAAAAACAATAATGAATCCGTTTTGTGATAAAAAGAAGAGACTCAGCCTAGACAGACAGACAGAAAAAAAGTAGAATCCCTGATTTCTAGAAGGTTTTCCTCAACTTTTCTGCTTCTTCTGCAGATGTAGTTGAGAAAAATAAAGTCAACTAGAGAGCACCTCTGTTGATAGGATCACACCAGCTGCGATGTTCCACCCCATGAGTCCAAACCAGTACTCATGAGTCGGACCACACTCATTCCTCAATCCAGCCTTTATTTTGATCTCAACTTCACACCTGTAAAGTTTTGTGACTGTATCTTGCAGGTTGTGACAGTGTCACTCTGTCCACAGACAGACAGACACCTGCAAAAGTCCTAAAAAACCACCTCTGTGGTAATTCCTGGTACAGTAGGTGTCTCCATGACCACATTTTGCCACACAGACACGGGACATGGACACGCGACACGGACACGGACACAGACACGGACACAGACACGGACACAGACACGGACACAGACACGGAAACAGACACGGAAAAAGACACGGAAACAGAAATAGACAGGGTCACGGTCACGGTCATGGTCACGGACACGAACACGAACACGGTCACGGTCACGGATATGGACGCAGAAACAGACACGGACACAGACACAGACACAACCACAGAAACAGACACGGAAAAAGACACGGACACAGAAACAGACACGGTCACGGACCGGACACGGACACGGACATGCACATGCACAGAAGGTGAAAACAATACTAGCCCTGTTATCGCAGCTGGTAATAAAGCTGTCAGAAGACATGGTTTGTGGTTCTGTATCACTGAGGAGGTGATAAGCACCGTCATGAATGCTTGGAGGAAAAAAACATTTAAACATGCTGCCCCCATGTGGTACTTACAAACGCAGAGTGGCGACATTTCAGAGTGCCAGTGCACTGCTGCCTCCAGGGCCGCCACAGCAGGAAACCCAGCAAATACAGCACAAACATGGAGGTCTTGGTGAACGTGCTGAAGAAGGGTTTGTTGTACTCCTGTCGCTTGAAGATGTACTGCAGGAACAAACAACAGGGGGGAAATGTTAGAACCAGCTAATGTGCACTGGAAAGTCTACACCTTTATGTCTTCAAAGCAGCAGGTTTGGTTTCACATGTCTGTGCTTTTAATTCAAACACATTTCACCTCAGTTTTCCCTCTCAGACTCTCCTGTTGTTTATTTTGTATTTCTAGTTTTTCAAGTTAAAAGTTCTTCCCAGGAGCACAGAGGGAGAGTAACAAATGATATTTACTCAACCTAATGCAACACTTCATACTTTCATTCCACTAAATGTTAAAATGACTCTTTGCTCTTTTTATTCCATTTATCTGATGGCTGTAGTTGCTATTTCTTCTTTGTTTAGTTATTTATTTATTTTTTATGAAAAACATTGTTGACTGTGAGAGGTTATATGTTTGTTGGTTTCCTCCTTGTGTTTTCCATTGCTAGACCACTTCTGTGCTGCTAACCCAGCTTTCTCTTGTAACAGTGCCACTGGCACAAGAAATAAACTGTCTTTTATTTTTTTTTCCATTCTTTTAACCTTATTTTATTACTTTTTTTCTTCAGTCAGGGTATATGCTGTTTTTAGTGGAATTATTGTTTTTTGAGCTGCATCAAATGTTTTACTGAATGTTTAGATAAACTGTGGGTACTTGCTATTTTTGTTATTACCATTATTAGCAGTTTTACTGTTGTTTGTATTTGTGAATATTTTCTTATGCCCTGTTTTGTGTTTGATTTTAATGTCCATTGTTTTGCATTATGATGTAATGTTTACTTGAGTGGACCCCAGCAAGAGTAGTTGCTACCTTGGTAGTGGCTAATGGGGACTTAAATACATATATATACAAATATATTTTCTAGTATTCAAGTACTTACACATAAAACACAATTTTTTTATGTAAACATTTTTTTTTCACATTTAAAGGAGTTGCAGTATTAACATTAACTAATTAAGGATACTCTTCATCCAGCACTTGTTAGGGGAGAGGATGAAAAAGTTGTATCATGCATTGGGGCACGAACAAAAGAAAAAACACCACATCATTGTCTGCTGATCCCAGAACATCTCTGTGCACTCTGGTTACTGAGTACATATGCACCCCTCTCTCATTTCACTCCTATTGTATCGTCTCATACTGCAACCCACCTCGCAACAGCAGGTGTGGAAAACTGACTGACTGTGACATAAGTCCTTACTGAGGTTAGCTCAGAGGAGGCTACCCAGATGACATCCACCAGCAGGAGTATCACCACCCCCAGCGCCATCCGCCTGCGCTGGGCTGCAGAGCTACCCTGAGAGCTCATTCGATTCATGATGAACGCCCATTCCATCTGGACACTGATAAAAGAGACAAACACAAACATATTCAAGTTACTGAAATTCAGGAGGTAGCTCACAGCTGCACCCAACATTTAAAAATCGTTAATTAATCAATGACTTTTCTTTGAAAGAGACATACTGACAGCTCAACCATAGATTCTAACAAGGGAGCACAACAATGTTACAGTTAGTAAGATATTAGGGCTGAACGATATGTAAAAAATAAATCATATTGAAATTATTTTGGCAGATATTGCAACATGAGTCACAATTTCAGTTGGAGTGGTGAAAAAAATATTAAAATGATGATGATGTTACTTTTGTATCAAACAATCATGTTCATTTAAGTCTGGAGAATGTGATTTATAGGTCATCTCTGTAGCACCACAGTGATTCATTTATGGTCTGTTGTGACACATTTTACCTTTATCAAAGAAGTTTTAGCTCTTGCAATTTGGATATTGCACTTGCCCATATTGTCATTTCATTAATAGCCTTATAAAATATGTGTCTCATACTGCGCTCAAAATGCAAAAATCATGAAAATATTGTGCATGCCTGCCGCGCTATTTGAATGACATTTTCAAAGACTCTTGAAGCATGTAGAGCTGTAAACACAAAAGCCATTGTCACCCCGAAATCTGCCATGCTCTTCAAGAAGCAATATTTCCTACAGGTAGAAAAACTCTGAAGGCATTAAGTATGTTAAAGGTAAGAGACAATAAAAGAGTAAAGACAGGGTATAGCTAAAATACCATATCAGAGCTGGAGGAAACTTTTAGTTACATTGCAGTACCCACCTGTTTACCAACAAACTTCTGTCTGAAATGTTATGTCTGTGGTCTCTCCAGCTCCCAGCTCAGAGTCAGTCAGAACCAAACAGGGGAATTCAAAATTAACAAAAACCTGCCACAAAAACAAAAGCAAAAGACAGCTGTGTTGTACTGTTGTATAATGTCTCTAATGTCACAACAAACAGCAGTGGAAATATTACCACTCTAACAAGACATGACCACCGAAGACTTACTGATGAAAAATATGTTCACACCTCGATTTACCTGTGTGTTGAAGTGTGGCAGTGGGCTACGTGCCAGTTAGCTATATTTCAGCTGGAGGCACTGCAGAGCTAAAGCTGTAGAATAGAGCTGTGCTGTAGTTGCAAATTCCAAGGGTTAGCTTTTATCTTTTCATCTGTACAGGTGCAGCTAGCTCTTGTCTGTGAAGCCCATTCAAGTTTTCTTAGTCAGATGAGCCACCTTCTTCAATCCCTGAAAGCTAGCGACACAGTTTGTAAGCTAGCTATTAAACACAGCCTGGAGGTCAGTACGTAATGCTGTAGGTTATATTTCAGTGAAACGTTAGCTGTAATTCATTGACAAGAGCTGGTTCAGGTCCACCTATTGGTCTAGTTAACGCTAGCAGGTAGCGTCGCTGTGCTACGTTTACTTGTTTACGGATAACTCACGAGCTAAGCGCTAACAAGCCTTCTAGATCAAACGATCAAATGCTTCATTAAAATAGTCTTTTTACCTGAATGCGAGAAGGGGTCATTTAGTTCTCGCTATTATCCACTTGTCTTTTCATGCTCTGTGGAAGTATCAACAAAATCAATCCGTTTTTACGATAAAATTATTGACAGCCCAGTGGTTGTAAACATTAGCACATCCTGCCCTCTTCATTGTCAGGTGACATCATTTATGGTGTGCAGAGACTTCTGGGATATGAGGTCTTAAAGTAGCGAATGTTGTCATTCACGTCTTCAAACATTTTAAAAGTTGTTTAATTCTGTCAATTTAAACACAAAGTTTTGCACTTAGACCGTTAGAACAATTTAATACCTAAAACTGTATGCGTTTTAAAAAAACATATTTCATACATACACGCTTAAACGATTGATCTTTTTTGTGTTAGTGTTAATATGTGGAATTTTATTATAGATTATGTAGAGTATAACTATAACAAAGAGAGTCATTTGGAGTTACAAGCAGCACAAACAACATGGCTGTACTGACTTAAGCATAAATACAAAGGACAACTTAATTCCCCACAAAATCAGTATTGAGAATGATGAGATTTTTTTTCATGTTTGAACATCTGAGTTTATAGATAGCTGCCAGCTTGAAATACAACTTCAGCTATTTAGAAAGTGATCACTGGATTCTAATATTCATTGTAGAAGGAGTCCACCTTCTGGGACCGGGGCTCTGACCCTTGTACTGTATATTCAGGTAATTGCCATAACTGACATAAAATAAGTAAGATATTTTTTCCACACACCACAAAAATCACAGTAATAGTAAATATTTGTTTTAATCTTTCCATAATTTAATGAAACCAACTTTTATTGTTAATACAATATTTGTCTTCCTATTTTAAATTCACGTAACCAAAAATAAATGACCTGAAAATGTAATTGAAATAGGCCTATATGAAAAGACCTGAAAGAAAACCCCCTGTAAAGAACCTTTTGGAATCAGAGGCTGTTACATTCCTTGGGTGTAACAAAAGACTATAGTATAGCCTACGGTTTTTACAATTGGAAAAATATTTTTGAAACATTTCTGAATAAACAGGGTTGAGTTTTGTGTTTAAACTGGCTACCTTTAAAGTTTTGTGTCACTGTTTGTGCTGCCTATCATGAGACATGGATGAGACAAACAAACAAGAAAACCGTTGACGTATTACTCCTTTGTTACAGTATATATTTTTTCAATAAAAAATATTTCTACACAATATACTGTACACTGTTTCTGAAACCGCAGGCAGGTGCTCGATGTGTCCAGCAGAAAGCAGTCTCCTCGGTGCTGTGCTTATATCAACCGTAGAAGAAGAACAGCACCACTTTTTTTCTCAATTAAACATGGCCGCCTCCTTTATGGGCGACCAGAGTAAACGTAGTATTTTTTGACTACGTTTACACATCTACATTACTACGTTTGTTATAAGTAAGTTATTTGCTGCAGGTACGACGAAGTATCGAGCATCTTTAGCTGTAAGTAGCCGAGACAAATCTGTTAGTATAATGTCAAAACAGCTCGGGGTTAGCATTGCGGTTAGCATGGTGCTAGTGCGCCAGCTTGTTAGCTGTCACCAAGTGTTGGTTATTGAGACACTTAGCGTTAAAGGCTTGTTATCAACGTTTTATAACTAATGCATTTTACTGTGAAGTCGGTAGTATAATGTTGTGATTAGTAACACGCAGCACGACAACTCAAACCTCACGCTTGCTATCAAACTCGTGATCAATCTGGCGGGTTACAGTATTAATAACATTAGCGATTATATGTTCACAGTTTAGTCGCAGTTTTGCAGACCATGTTATCTACAAAGTGAGAGAAGCAGAGCATCATCATGGAGCTTTCTTCAGAGGAGGGGGAAACCTCCCATGTCATTGATATGACCACCAGTGAGAAGGTAACGTTATTCTGTTTACGTCTCTAATGCTGTGCTGTAGTGTATAATCCCTGCAACTTGTTCTGAGCCAGTTGTTGTTTGTTTCCTGTAAAACTATTTCATCCACTACAAGCTGTAATTAAATATTGTATAAAAGCACCTATAGCAATACCCCAAATACTGATATGACAGTAATGAGTCAGTCAACAATATTGCGATATAGGAGCTTTGTCAGGATCACACAGGCATGTTAATGTGTTACACTCAGATTTAGTAGTCTGCTTCATTTAGCTGATGCCCTGAGCCATTTAGCTACAAAAACTCACTTTCCTCACTAAAGGCCAGTTGACTTTACAATTAACCCCTGCAAATGGACAATGTCCACATTTGTTAATATGTCTGGTATTAGTATTGAGCAGCTAAACAGGCCTCAAAGAGAAAAACAGCTAAGCTATTATACTTTATACATAAACAATAATATAACCCTTTTGATTTGGGTTAGATGACACCAGGCCTTTCTTTTAATGTTATGACAATAAATTATATGTCCATATAAATAGAGGTTCATGAGGTTTTCTTTTCCCTTTCAGGTGGTGGAACTCCTGAATCAGGCTGCTCTGATACCCACAGATGAAAAGCTAACTGTGCTCAAACAGGTTTGTTTTCTGATCTCTTTCAATCAGAAGTATTAATAAGAAGCATTTTCATGATCATGCTCTTAAAGCCTAAACATCTGCATGAAATTAATGTATTTTCCCAAAATATACGTTTGAATATATATGTTTTCCAACATTCACTTGAATATTTTTACATTGCAATGTATTTCAATCTGTCCTGGGTGCATCCCTGCTCTATGCCTCAGTGTGTGCTGGGATATTATCCACATCACAACCATACAAAGGAGGAAGTCTATATAGGACAACCCTGAATCTGTGATTTCTTTTAATTTTCAGGTCCAGGAGCTTATCATCAACAAGGATCCCTCTCTTCTTGACAATTTCTTGGATGTAAGTCAAGCTCTGTGGAGCTTTCCTACCTTGTAGCTTATTGGTCATGTAATATACTGGTAAAGCATTCACCATATTCAATTTAAAATGCACAGTGTAGTTGATCTATATCAATCTGGTAAATTCAAGCTTTGATTCATCATTCTGCCACTGGTCTTTTCGTCCTGTAGGAGATGATTGCCTTTCAGACTGACAAGTCTATCGAAGTGAGAAAGTTTGTGATTGGCTTCATAGAGGAAGCATGGTGAGTTATTAGATAAGTTTACTGATCTCATGTTTGTAAATTTCATGTTCACGAAAGAAATTGTTGCAGCTTTCCCAATCTTTTACTGGTTTATGTCTTTTCCAGTAAACGAGACAATGAGCTCCTCCTCCGACTGATCGCTAACCTGAACATGTTGTTGAAGGATGAAAGTGTGAATGTGGTGAAGAAAGCCATCCTCACACTCACCCAGCTGTACAAAGTTACCCTGCAGGTTAATACAGTAACTCAGAGGAAATACTGTACATCTGATGTCTGTTTCTTTATAGGAATATGCAACAAAATCTAGTTAGTATTACCTCCATCTGTTGTCTTTTCACACCCTTTACTCTTCTGTCTCTTTCATGACAGTGGTTGGTTCGCGGCAAAACAGTATCAGAGATGCAGGAGGCATGCTGGGATTTGGTCACACAGATGAAAGGGGATGTTCTGGCTTTGCTGGATTCTGAAAATGATGGCGTGCGCACTCATGCCATCAAGTTCACAGAATCACTGATTATCACTCTGTCCCCGCGGACATCAGACTCTGACATCCCCAAACGACAGGAGGGCGACATCAGCCTGGATAAAGTTCCCAAAGACCACTCGTACATTCGATATGGTACAGATATTAAAATCCTTTCACAAGGAAAATTATATTAACGTGTGTTTTAATCCAGTCCACTAAAGCTCATCTTTGTCCTAACATCATCGTCATTTCTCAACAGATGTGTTGTGTGAGGAGGGAAAGTCTGCACTTGAGAAGCTGCTGAAGTTCATGGTCCACCCAGCCATTTCCAGCATCAACCTCACCACAGCACTGGGCTCACTGGCCACTATTGCTCGTCAGAGGCCGATGTTCATGTCAGAGGTGGTTCAGGCGTATGAGACGCTGCATGGTAAGTGTTTCTGAGCCACTGTTGTGTAAATCACAAATCACCATTTAAACTGTTTGTGTCAGTCTAATGTTGATTTAAAAAAAAAAAAAAAAGATAAATTCAGATTTCTTTTGTCAGTATCTTTTAATAGTTCAAATCATTGTGCTCAATACTTTATTTCACCTACAAAGTAATATATATGTCTTAACCTTTTTAGCAAACCTGCCGCCCACTCTGGCCAAGTCTCAGGTCAGCAGCGTGCGAAAGAATCTGAAGCTGCACCTGGTGGCCGTCCTCAAGCATCCCTGCAGCGTGGAGTTCCAGGGTCAAATCAGCACCCTGCTGCTGGACCTGGGGATGCCCCAGAGTGAAATAACCCGCTCTACACCTGCACTGCGTGAGCAGCGCAAACGCCCTCGCCACGAACAATACACAGAGGGAAAAAAGGTCAAGATGGGTGAGTAGTGATCACAGAGTCAAAGACGCTGTAATCGTAGTAATTAGATTGTGTTCGCTACACGTGTGTATATGTATCAGGATGATTCTGTTTGAGCGGTTTTTATGACATTTGTTCAGAGCCAGCCCTGATGGAAGATGATGAGGACAAGGAGGAGCCCGCCCCCCTCACGACCCCTAACCCAGCTGTTGTTCCAGTTGCACAGTCTGCCATTGACCTCACAGCTGAGTTCCTGCACCCACTGCTCAACCCCGAGAATGTAGCCAACCTGGTGAGCAGCGGTGGCCTGTTGTCCTGTTTGTTTCTCTCACTTAAAGCCCGACTGTGTGACGCTTCAGCTTACATGTCTCTGTGTCGTCGTTTAGGTGCTCATCAGCATGGTGTACCTACCTGACGTCATGCCAGCATCCTTCCAGGCCACATACACACCTGTGGAGTCAGCAGGCACTGATGCCCAAATCAAACATCTGGCCAGGCTGATGGCCACACAGATGACTGCAGCTGGGATTGGTCCAGGTTGGTAACAAAGACAAGCACCATGAAAGGGCCAAGAATTTAGTGCATTGAGTGTGGTTGTGTTTTTTTTTTTTATTTAGTTTTTTGACATATATAGTTTTTAAATTGCAGACAGGAAATTCAAGCTACACTGGTATATTTCCAATTCGATTAGGGCTGCAACTAAC